CAATCCCGTGACACAAAAATCTAAAAAAAATATATATATATATAAAAGTCCAGTGATCTAAAAAAAAAACTTTCTTAAAAAATAAACTTCAGTGCTTCAAATAATTCTTCCACCATCAACCAGTGCCAAAAACCAACATAAACTGCACTCACCAGATATTGGTGAGTAAAACACCTTTCAGGATTATTTTGGGCTCCTGGACCCCCTTTGAGGACTCCTCTATTTTCCACCTCAGACCTATGGGTGATTCTTCATTCGTCTTTTTTTTTAGATCACTGGACTTTTATATATTTTTTTTAGATTTTTGTGTCACAGGATTGTGGTCACTTATTTTCATCACTGGACTTTGAAAATTATTTTATATTTATTTATTATTTATTAATTGTGTTTTGCGCTGGTTTATATTGGAATATTTATCTGGCATATACCCAGTATTAAAAAAAACAAAAAAACAAAACAAAATGCACACACGTACACACACACACACACACACACACACCCCACCACGGACTTGCTGTATGTCTCAAGAAATATAAAAAATTTAAAAAAAAAAAAGTCATACAGAAATTGTCAAGCTGACAGGCTGCAGTATTAGCATAGTGACTGCTTTTGGAGAGGGATTAACCCCTTCACGCCTAAGGGTAAGACAAATCTAAATACTTAAGCACAATTCTGCAAAGTTGACATGTGATAGTAAAAACCATACAGATCACCACAACTACTTTGTACATCCAGGTGAATTATATCTTGTTTTTTTCAGGACAATTTGGGCTTTCATTTGGTGGTAAATGGTAATGGATAGCTCCTGATTTTTTTATTATCAAAGGAAAACTGTCCCAAAACAGTAAAAATAAAAAATTATTATTATTTTTTTATTATTATTTAGCTGTGTGTTTCTTGTTACAAACATAACCTACCACCAAAGAACAACCCAAAATAAATTCTCCAGCACTTGATGATCGCAGCGATACCATAGATGTGTATGTTATTTGTTGTTTGTGCCCGTAGTACAGCCCAAAAACAGTAGTGTACATGTTGTTTTTGTCTTTTTTTTTTTTTTAACCTAAAACACAGACACGTTAACACTAACTGACACTTACATTAACACTGACACCAATTTTATTTTTAATCCTGACCTTTGACCTTGATCCAAACACTAACCCTGGCACTGAACTAGATCAAACCTTGATTTTTCTTTATTTTGAAATTTTTTTATTTTTTTTTTTTTTAAACAAAATGTTTTCGTTCTATATGCCAGGAGTTAGAGAGATACAATGTATAATGTAATGTATATGATACAATGTATCTCTCTTCTCCATTCATAGAGAGAGAAAAAAACAAGGGGGTGGGCTGTACAGTGACTGATCACTGTGATAGCCAATCAGAGGCTATCACAGCAATCATGCGACCCAGAATCGGGAGTCCCGGGTCGCAATCGTTAGAACGGGACTCGGGGCTCTCAGTGAGCGGCACGCTCCCAGGCTGCATATTTGTGTGACGTCGGCATCAAGGGGTTAAGGAAAACATGCCCACTTAGCAGCACCCTGTGTAAAATGTATTGCTACTGTAGATGAGAAATATGGGTCTGTCTCTGGCTGCAATGTTCTAGTTTACAGAAACAAAGACACAACTTAAACACTCCTTTGCCACCTCACATGGGCCAGGAATGCAAGATTATTGTCCGACGTCCGGGACATGCAGTTTCAGGCACCAGGCTGGTTTTTCTTTTTTTTTTCTTAAACTCCAGCCCTGCTGCTGGCAAGTAGTCTCGTTTTACTCAATGGGAGGCGATTTTGGAATTGAAGTCGATGCACAGCTGGGTGTTTTGGAATCGCAGCAGAATCAGCGATTCTGCCAGCGATTGCAAAATGCATGTTCAGGTGCCATTATTTTCACGACAACAGTGCAGTTTTGCAGTGATTGTCGCACAACTAATTGCATAGTGTGAAGCTTTTCGCCCAAAAGAAGCTCCTGCTCCTTTTTGGGCGACAAGCTTCACAAGCTGCAATTTGTTGAAACTGCAGCACTGTAAACCAGGCGCACCATGTTTTAGGTGCCATTGAAAATAATGACACCTGAACCTGCGTTTTGCGATTGTAGTGCGTTTTGAGAATGCAGGCAGATTTAACGCGTTTCTGCAACAATCCCCAAACACCCAGGTGTGAAAAGGGCCTAACAGAACGGACACTGGAGCTTGATTTGGCTGCTCAACAGGTGCTAGTACTGAGCACCCAAGTAGTTCAATGTGCAAGGGCAACCTGAAGGAATAAAGTTGTTTCTCTTTTCTTATTGGGGCCAGCGCCTAAATTTACTTGCTCAGATGTACTTCTACTAAAACATTAAAAGGGGCCTGACACTCCCCTTTCCTGACAAGTACCCAACCATTACACTGCAAGGTCTCTCTCTCCTCCAGGCGGGGGGAGGGGGTTGTAGGAGAAAAACAGCACAATGTTAAAAGTTTTTTTTGTTTTTTTTTTTAATCAGGAAAAGTAGATTGGGACCCTTACTTAGTCCCTTCGACAAGCAGTTTTTGTTATTTAAATTTCCACGCCACTGTTGGCTCTAAGTAGGGGATACTAAGGATGGCCATATATCATACAATTTTTCCTTATGTTTACCAAAACCATATAAATAGGTCAATTGTAAACATTTTCAATTTGTGTACAATCAGGCAATACATAGTACACTTTAGTATTAATTCATTTCAACGGACAGAATAAAGCTTTATATTCATCATCTTTCCTGCCAAAACACCACAGCCAGGAAAAAAGGCATCTTGGAGAGATTGATACAAGTTACTTGCTCCTGCTGTCACTAAGACACTCACCAGCAGCATGCTTTTTGTAGCACTTGTCATGATGGGGTTAAAAAAATTAGCCCTTTACTTAGCACAAATACAGCAGATAATCACTACTATAAGAAATGAATTTATACTGTAAAAGAGTGTGTGTGTATATATACAGTTGTGTTCAAAATAATAGCAGTGTGTTGAAAAAAGTGAATAAAGCTCAAAATCCTTCTAATAGCTTTTATTTCCATACACACAAATGCATTGAGAACACTACACATTCTATTCCAAATCAAAACATGAAGAAAAATATATCAAATTTGTGTTGTTCCTCTGAAAAAAATTGAAGAAAAGTGAATATTAGACTGTTCAAAAAAATAGCAGTGTTTGTATTCTTCTTCACAAACTCAAACATTCACTATATAAACTGAAAAATGTTTGAAGATTTTGCTTTCCTTTGAATCACTTAATTAATATTTAGTTGTATAAGCACTGTTTCTGAGAACTGCTGTACATCTGTGTTGCATGGAGTCAACCAACTTCTGGCACCTGTGAACAGGTATTCCAGCCCAGGATGATTGGACTACATTCCACAGTTCTTCTCTATTTCTTGGTTTTGCCTCAGAAACTGCATTTTTGATGTCACCCCACAAGTTTTCTATTGGAATAAGATCCGGGGATTGGACTGGCCACTCCATAACGTCAATCTTGTTGGTCTGGAACCAAGATGTTGCACGTTTACTGGTGTGTTTGGGGTCGTTGTCTTGTTGGAAAACCCATTTCAAGGGCATTGCCTCTTCAGCACAAGGCAGCATGACCTCTTCAAGTATTCTGATGTATTCAAACTGATCCATGATCCCTGGTATGTGATAAATAGGCCCAACACCGTAGTCTTTCAGGTTTTGGTTGCCATTTTAAAGCATTTGCGGTCATTTTAGCTGAGCAGCCTATCATTTTCTACACTTCTTTATATGTTTTTCCCCTCTCCAATCAACTTTTTAATCAAGGTACGCTGTTCTTCTGAACAATGTCTGGAACGACCCATTTTCCTCAGAATTTCAGAGAGAAAATGTTGTACATGCTGTAACCAGCATGTACAACATTTGCTGCCTTCCTTCCTTAAATAAGGGCAATAATTGCCACCTGCTTTTCAAAGAATGAATGACCTCACTAATAGAACTCCACACTGTATTATTTTGAACATGCCCCTTTCAATTAGTGATTCAATGACACAGAATCAGCAGCATGCATGTCATGACTGTTGGGTCTGTTGGATTTCTATTACTCTACTACACCTGCTAGTAAATTATTTGCCATGTAGAAATATCATTTCTACCAAAAACAGTGATTGATCAGGTTAGTGATGTCTGACTGCTATTATTTTGAACATAACTGTATATATATATATATATATATATATATATATATATATATATATATATATATAAATATACACACACACACACATATAAACACATACATATACATACATATACACACACACGTCACTCTATTAGGTACAACTGTTCAATTCCTGGTAACACAAACTGCTAGTCAACCTCCACATGGCAGCAATTAAATACATTTAGACATCTAGACATGGTGAAGACGACAAACTGAACATCAAAATGAGAAAGGGGATTTAAGTGACTTTGAATTTGGCATGGTTGTTGGTGCCAGACGGGCTGATATGAGCATTTCAAAAACTGCTGATCTACTGGGATTTTCAAACACAACCATCTCTAGGGTTTACAGAGAATGGTTCAAAAATGAGAAAATATCCAGTGAGTGGCAGTTGTGTGGATGAAAATGTCTTGTTGATGTCAGAGGAGAATGGGCAGACTGGTTCAAGATGATAGAAAGCCAACAGTAACTAAAATAACCACTCATTACAACTAAGATATGCAGAATACCATCTTTGAACACACAACACATTGAACCTTGAAGCAGATGGACTACAGCAGCAGAAGACCATACCGGGTGCCACTCCTGTCAGGTAAGAACAGAAAACTGAGGCTACAAAATTGGATAACAAAAAGATTGGAAAAACGTTGCCTGGTCTGATGAGTATCGATTTCCCACATGTGGGGTTAATATCTGTAATGTGAAATATATTCCATCAAAAAAATAAAAATAGTGTTTTTTTTAGGTTTAAGGCACGCGTGTAATAAGAGTATTGACAGGTGTAATTTTATTGAAAGTGTTACTAAACCCAGGACCCTGCATTCACTATATCTGGTCTCCCACAGTACACACAACATGGAAATGCAACTATTTTAGTAAATATAAACTGCTAAATACCTTTTCTCATCAGCAGTTAGAACAGGCTTGTGACTTCTATCAAGTGTCTAGCAGAGCACTGGTTACAGCTTGAAGGAGGTGTTTTCATTCTCCTGCAGCAAGATGACACTCTGTCTGGAGAGTGCTGATTGGCCCTGTGATGATTACATGCACTATCCCTCCCCAAAAAAAAAAAAACACCTCTCTAGCAATACACACCAAACTGATCATGTGTAGTTTGTCCCTAGCATCTGTTATATCAGGAGATATTTGGAAGAAGGAGAGGATCACAGAAGAGAGGATCAAACATCCTTTTTACACATTGTGGAGGATTAACCCCTTAGGTTCCACAGTGAGTATAACAAGCATGCTTTCCTGCATATACAGACAGATTTTACGGTTGTGGGCTTGGTAACACTTTAAAGAACAGAGAACAAATGATATGTCACAAAATTCTGTATGGATTAGCAACTTGAGTGGAAACAGATGCCACCTTTAATTATAAAGTAGCCTCAGTCTGAGAAAGCTCATCACAAAAACACAAGCAAGGAGTTAAAAGGTATTATGAATCTTCCTACCTGCATCTTTTGTTTTTGACCCTGCAAAAGATGTGCATTAATGCTCTAGTTTTATGGGGTGATTTGTTGCTCTGGTTGTACAGCCTGCAGTAGAGTAAATCTTCACATTTAGGTGTCAGCAATTTCAGTTTGTGTTCAAATATGAGGCATGGCACTGCCCAGGGTTATACATGAAAACTTCCTGTGAAAAAAAAAAAATATATATATCCAAAAACCCCTGGGTCTCTCAATCTAGTGCTCTTCAGGTGCGAGGTAATTAGTAATTAGATCTGAAACAGACCAAGCAGGCAGAGCAATTAACAGAGGGATCACCATATACTCCAACACATTAGTACCTCCACATTTGTGATGCAACACATAGGAAATGGTGACACATGGATTGCGACCCGTAACAACAAGCTACCTGTCCCTTTAACGAATAGGGACAAGCTAGGTGAACGGTAACCTGGACATGGGGATCCAAATCAACCATGAAACTACAAACTGCAGCCACAACATACGAGCCCATCATTACAAGGTAGGGCAATATGTAATATATATGACTACACCGATACCTCGTGTAAAACATTCCTGTAGTCCGTGACACTAAATTGCAATCCTTGTTCAATTATCAATTTTACACTGACAGTAGGAAGCCGACTGGATACTTTGCACAACAAAAAATGTTCATGAGTGCACTTGCATGTATAAATCATTAAGGATCTATGGACACATACACCTTACGTCTACAAAGAGGTGTTTATCTCTGTGGCCAATCTCAACTATTGCAAAAGAAAACAATGGTCTCGTGAATGGATGCCAAACACAAGTAAAGCAGTATGAAACCCAAAAGAAAACGTATTATATTGCAGCTTACCAATTCTCTGCAATCGTTTCCTTTGTAAGGGCTCATGCACAAGGAACTTTTTGCCATCTCCTAGATGCCTTTCCTCCTAGCAGTGGTGTTTTGGCAGAAAAAAAAAAAAAAAAAAAACACTTGAAGCCTGCAAACTCGTAAACCAGATTTAGGCACATCAAGAGCTTGAGCGTTAATTTATTTCATTGGCCCGAATAATTACACACACATTTAGGCGCACTTACAGGTATCAAGCATTTTTTTCTGCCAAAATGCCACTGCTCCTGGACACTCTGAGAGTGGGTTCTTTTTCTGCCTCTGAACTCCTCTAAATGCCTATATGTGCATGAACACATAAGCTAACATACAGGAGCATTTAGAAGGTAGGCGGAGGAAAAAAAAAAAAAAAAAAAAAAAAAAAAAAAAAAACACCAGGCACTCCTAGGAGGAGCAGAAAAAAAATGTCCATTGTGCAAGAGGCCTTGGGCTTTCTTTCTTCTATTTTCATCTGGTGATCTGGTTAGTAAGTCTGTTTTTCAGCAGAAAAGCTCTCTTGCAGTTACAGGAATGAGACAGACCATGTAACGCTGGCAGGGGTGCTTAAAATGAAGAGCATTTATGTTGTGCCAAAAGGAAAAAAGTTTTTTGTAGTAAGTAAGGATTATAAAGTTTTAGCTGGAGTTAATCTTCATTTTTTTGTGTATTTAAATCCGATTGTACATCTAACACTCCTCTCTTCCAAGACTGACAATGTTGCTGTTAAAATCTGCCCCCTGTGGTCATTCATGCAGAGTGGCATATGTTACATTTTCGGTTTTGGGGTTTAATACTACTTTAAAGAGAGCTTGCTTATACAGCGACAGTGAAAAATCTCGATCAAATCAATATTTGGTTGAACTACCCTTTGACTTCAGATCAGCATCACTTCTAGGTACACGCAGTTTTTGAAGGAACTCAGGATATAAGTGGTTTCAAACATCTTAGAAAAACAAACCACAATCTGGGCTCTGAGGGAGAAAAATCATCACTTACAGAACTCCTGGTTATTCTTTATACTGGCACATCACAGTGCACCCCACTTACCTTGTGCTGCTGCTGGGAAAAAACTGGGGGTGGAGCTGGGAAGCAGAAAGTGCAGAGTCAGGAGGACCAGAAGAGGGCTGGTGTCAACTGTCAGAGTCTACTGAATGCTGAGATGAGGGGATGCTGCAGCTACACAGAGAGGCACAGGATCTGTAGGAGGAGTTCTGAGATGAGAGGGGCTGCAGGGAGAGTTCCCCCTCTATGCTTCTAACAGCTGAGACAAGGTGGGGGTGGAGAAGAGGGGGGTGCAAGGGCAACAAGAAATGGCCTGGCAGGCTGCATTCAGCCCGAGGGCCTTGTGCTTGACACATGTGCAGTAGATGAAAGACACCATGCTTACTTTCCTTCGACATAAGGGGGTTTATTTACTAAAGCTGGAGAGTCCAAAATCAGACTCCCTTCTGCACAGAAACCAATCAGCTTCTAACCTCAGCTTGTTCAATGAAGCTTTGGCAATGAAACCTGGAAGCTGATTGGTTTCTATGCAGAAGGGAGTCTGATTTTGGACTCTCCAGCTTTAGTAAATAAACCCCAAGATGTCCAACAGTGCCATCAACACAGAGCTCATATAAACCAGCGGGACCCAGGTACACCCATCTACTGTCCAGAGTAGTCTGGACAGAAGTGGTCTTTATAGAAAAATTGCAGCCAAAAAGCCAAACCTTGACATGGAAACAAGGCTAAGCAACTCAACTATGTACAAAAACATAAAAACTGGGTCACAAAAAAAGGCAGCAGATGCTACGGACTGATGTGTCAAAATGTGAAATATTTAGCTGTAGCAAGAGGCAGTTTATTCATGAAGGATTGAAATGTAGTATAATGAGCACCTGCAGGCAACAGTGAAGCATGGTGGAGGATCCTTGAAAGTTTGGGGTTGCATTTCTGCAAATGGAGTTGGACATTTGATCAGGATCAACGGTTTCCTCAATGAGAAATACAAGCATAGCAATACAAGCAATACAAATACAAGAAATACAATACGTATCCATCATGCCATACCATTCGGGAGGCATGTGACTGGCCCCAAATTTATTCTGCAGCACGACAATGACCCCAAACATAAAACAGTCAATGGCATGAAGAACTAACTTCAGCATAAAGAAAAAAAAAAAGTTTCCACAAGCGCTGTGTGTACCTAGACAAATTGATGCTGGTTTGAAGTCAGAAGGGTGGTCACACCAAATTTTTGATTTAGAGTTCTCTTCTGTTGATTTACTTTCCATTTTGTTCATGGATAGAAATAAAACTATTGACAATTATATTTCTGAAAGCATTCCTTTTTTCACACAACTTTGCAGAAAAATATTTTTTGCATTTAAGTAATTATGTGTTGATTTAAGTTAATATTGTTGATGATTGTAGGAGTATGTTATATATACACATAAGTGAGTTATATATGCACATGCACTTTATGACATTTTATTTAATGAGAAAAATGCTAAAGGCACCTGGTGTTCTAAGGGTGCCATGGATATAAAAAGTCTACACAACTGTTAAAATGTCAGGCTTCTGTGATGTAAAAAAAAATAAGACAAAGATAAATCATTTCAGATTGTGACCTATAAATTGTACAACTCAATTGAAAAACAAACTGAAATCTTTTAGGGGGGTAAACATAAAAAACTAAACTAATGTGGATGCATAAGTGTGCACACCCTCCTATAACTGGGGACGTATCTGTGTTCAAAATTAAGCAATCACATTCAAAATCATGTTAAAGAGGAGTCAGTACACACCTGCCATCATTTAAAGTGCCTCTGATTAACCCCAAATAAAGTTTAGCTGTTCTAGTAGGTCTTTAACATTTTCTTAGTCGCATCCTACAGCAAAAGTCATGGTCCGCAAAGAGCTTCCAAAGCATTACAGGGATCTCATTGTTAAAAGGTATCAGTCAGGAGAAGGGTACAAAAGAATTTCCAAGGCATTAGATATACCATGGAAAACAGTGAAGACAGTCATCATCAAGTGGAGAAAATATGGCGCAACAGTGACATTATCAAGAACTGGACGTCTCTCCAAAATTGATGAAAAGACGAGAAGAAAACTGGTCTGGGAGGCTGCCAAGAGGCCTACAGCAATATTAAAGGAGCTGCAGGAATATCTGGCAAGTACTGGCTGTGTGGTACATGTGACAACAATCTCCCGTATTCTTCATATGTCTGGGCTATGGGGTAGAGTGGCAAGATGGAAGCCTTTTCTTATGAAGAAAATAATCCAAGCCCGGTTAAATCTTGAAAAAACACTTATGTTACGGTCTGATGAAACCAAGGTTGAACTTTTTGGCCATAATTCCAAAAGATATGTTTGGAACAAAAACAACACTGCACTTCACTAAAAGAACACCATACCCACAGTGAAGCATACTTTGGGTTGTTTTACTTCAGCTGGAACTGGGGTCTTTGTCAAGGTAGAGGGAATTATGAACAGTTCCAAATACCAGTCAATATTGGCACAAAACCTTCAGGCTTCTGCTAGAAAGCGGAACATGAAGAGGAACTTCATCTTTCAGCATGACAACGACCCAAAGCATACATCCAAATCAACAAAAAAATGGCTTCAACAGAAGAAGATTAAAGTTTTGGAATAGCCCAGACCTGAAT